ATAAACAAATAAATGGTCGACGCTGACTTGCAGGTTGCATCTCTTGTAGTTGTTGATTTCTGACCTCACCCATTTGAAATCTCCGGCGATCGACTTTCACGGCTCCTTCCGATTGATCAGACTCCCGGTAAACTCTTCTTCCATTTCATTTATAGCTCCCAGATTTAGAGCATAGGTGGTTTCGGATTCTACGATTTCGAAAATCAAATCCTGTCAATTCTTGGTTAGGCAGCTCAGAGGCATAGAAACAGAATCGAGAGTTGCAGCATCGCTTAGATCAATTCCAAGGTTGTTCTTCGATTCAGTTTTGGTTACTTAGAATATGGCCATCTTCTTTCTTAAGCTCTCTTGGAAAAAAAGAAGCCAAGTCTCAGTTTATGTCTCCACTATCTAATAAATCTCTTATACCAATGTAAAATTCACAGTTGGAGATTCTCTGCTACTCTTTTCCTTTTGTGTAAGACTCACAAATCACTATTTCATCCTTGTGTGTTGTTTTCCAGGTGCTTTGATTCTTCCTCTTTGGCCATGGACGCCACAAAGCAAGAGGTTACAAAGATTGAAAGTGATGACACTTCTTCATCAGTCGAGATCAAAGTGCTGCTATTTGCGAGAGCACGTGAGCTCACAGGCGTGCCGGATCTAATCCTCAAGGTGCCGTCAGGTAGTACAACACAGAAATGTATGGACGAGTTAGTGGTCAAGTTTCCAAGCTTGGAAGAAGTTCGTAGCTGTGTGGTTCTTGCTTTGAACGAGGAGTATACGACGGATTCCGCCATTGTTAAACACAGAGATGAGTTAGCTATCATCCCTCCAATAAGTGGTGGCTAGTGTAAAATCAATCCATTAACTTGAGTTTGTATTATCATTGGTAATAATCTTAAATGTAACAAGATTTGTACTTTTTTCATAAACAACACAGAGATATCTGTCTTTTAAGAGAAGAACAAAAAGGTTACATCAGTTCTACAATCACAACTTCTTCATCTCTCTGATTCACGATACTGTTTATCATTTATCATTCACCGCTCTTCAACAAAAAAATAAGTGTTATCACTATTTCAGTAGCGGCGTGGTCTTGAATGGTTGATGCTATCTAGTGCCGATCCCAGAACCCTTCTACTGTACTCCAAACTAGCTCCATTCGAGTGCATTGATACTCCTGGAGGAGGTGGCTCTGCAAGAAATAGAGATGGGACCAAAGTACATCAAGTCTCACAACTTAGATAGACGAATTGGATCGAGCAAAATGGTTCCTTGTCTATAAGAAATGTAATGATTTCGTAAAGTCTCATAACTTAAGCAGCCAAACTAATGACACATTGCGACTGACATTGCCTTGGCAAAGTTTGTATTCAGTATACAATGCTTTCGATTTATATTGTTTGTTCAATGAAATCAAGAAAGGAGAAGAAGGAAGAGAACAAACCTTGTGCATAATCCAGAGGAACAGGGGAAGGTGGTGAAATCAATTGCGACGAGAACCTCTCCGAATAGTGATGACCCCTATCCGAATGCTCGAAAGACAGAGACTGAGGTCTCGTTCTGTGACCCGAATTCGAGTTGTTTGCTTGTAATTTATCTTGTCCAGATATCTAATTCAATCTCCAGCCAAAAATCAGCACAACCACAAATCGAAGATAGTAGCATTATCACAAGGTAAAAAGAAAAGAGACGAACTCACAGCGAATTTGAGAGTTCTATTGTAGAGAGAGACAAGACCGGAGAAGAGTTTGACGGCGTAATCGGCGATTTCTTCAGACTCATACTCAGCAAACGCAAAGCCTTTGGGTTTATCGGTTTCTTTATCACGGGGAATGTGTAGATCGACAACTTTTCCAGCTTGAATCAATATATCATACAAAACCCTATCGCTCACTCTCTCATCTACGTTCCCTGATTTTGATATCAATTTTGTTTTCGAGAAAAAAATGATTCAGATTCATCGGCGGTTTTTCCAGATCAGTAGACATGTTGGAAGAAAGAACTTACCTACGTAGACGGTGCAATTGGAATTCCCAGCCATGGAAGCTAGCTACTTAGTCGATCAGAAGAACAATGGAAACCCTAAAGCGTGAACATGTAAAAGAGAGAACCCAAAAGCTTCGTTCCGTGAATAATTGAAATTGAGAAGAAGAAAAATGATGAAGAAGCTTCAAGAGGGGCTGAATTGTAATTTCTAGCTAAATTTTAAACAAATGGAAATTTTTTCTATTTCAGTTCTATCCAATCATTAGGGATATGGACAAATTCGAACCGATCCAAACCGATATACCAATGTGTATAACTAATATTTCCTCTGTCTTTCGAATGTTTTTGGCTAAAGAATCGCATATTAAGATATTACTTTTATTTTAAAAATATATATTATTTAATACATAAACAAAAACAATTACCTAATCATAAAAGAATCTCCACAAAACTATTGGTGGCACACAGTATTTAATAAAATAAAAAGTTACATAGAAATTTTAAAACATCTTATATTATGAAACAAAAATAAACTTCTAAAACATCTTATATAGAAAAACAAAGAGAATACATTATTTTTCTTCTAATTAAATTTATTTTTTACACTGAGTTTTTTCTTTTAATTTTCGCATGATTTTTAATTTAGTTTGAAGCCTGAACTGCTACATAATTTTTTTTTAAAAATTTGGTTTTATATTATTGAAATATATTTCTTTTTTA